CAGGCTCCGTTGGCTGAGCTACATGTTACGCATTCCAGCACAGCGCGTCATGCGACGTGCGTTGTTTGCGTTTGCGAGGTACGTATGTCGGTAGGTCGAAAGGAAACCTAGCGATGACTTGGTGAATATTAATGAAGGCCCTTTCTTCGAAATCGACCTCGGTTGGAACCTGTCAACCCCATGTTTAGATCCCGAAATATGGTGAACACGTTCGGCTGGATACGCCGATTGCTTTAACGAGAAACCGATTCCATGGCATTTATGTTTAGTATTTTGTCGCTCTTCCTGCCGTCTAGCCTCTTCCTACCCCAATCGTTGTCTCAGTTCTGACGGATAATGTTACTTGCGGTAAAATAGCCGGCTGTTGGCTCACCGAAGCGTTCTCCATCCGCTACTGGTGGTCAGCTTGCGTTTCTGTGTTGCACCTTTCGCATGTATTGCGGTAAACTAGCCGAGGTATTTTTTACTTCTAGCTAATGGTGAATGCTCGAGGAACCACTCACTGTTTGCTTCGGTTTTGTGGGATTTCCTCTTTGGGAACCCCCAAAACATGCAGATTTTCGCGCAGGCCAACACGTGATCTGTGTGGTTATCACGTTACACGTTAGATGAGGGTGAGCAACACACTTTAGCTAATGTGCCGCAACACAACAGATAAGAGATTTGAACCAAACGAGATAAAAACATTACGGAATGCAATTCAAAAGCTAATGTGTTGTTAAGTATCATGTTACGTATATTGATGTGAGATCGTGGTTTGTGGGCGGATATCAGCATGAGAGAAAGAGCTAAGTACCTCATAACAGAATCGCCATTGAAGTCGGCATGTCAACAAATGTATCCAACCAGACGTGTTCCTTATCTTTCGGACCCCAGACGGCAGTCGGGAGACACTAACCGACGCCGTGTTCGGAGTGAGGGCCTTCATTCCTCTTGACCACGCCATCGCTTGGCCTCCCCTCTTCTTCCATCCCCACCCCCGGTCGCGCAAACATTGCACGTCGCGAGAGTCGCTGTGCTGGCATACGCAACACGTGGCCCAGCCATCGGGGCTTAGTGCGTGAAATTTCGACGCTGAGCACTTCACCTGCTCTTCATGTACCATATGCGAGACATCGAAGAGGCTCATTGATCACGCTGTATTCCCACCAAACACGAGCTAAACTGCGAATGCAGCAACGACCGAGCGTAAGAAGCCTCTTTATGTCTGTCGATTTGATGGGCTACGTTTCGCAACCGTAAAATAAGCTCGAACGTACGGTTGCATAGTAAATTCTGCCCTCCAGTGCGAGAGTAATATCGCACGGGCGCTACTGATGTAGGAGATTAGCAAAAGTGCCTCGACCTTTTTGCTACTCGGTTGGTTATCTCATGTTGATCTGACGGGCGCTAGAGTAATTGAACCGAGATGAACTGCACCCCTTGCGGCTCCCCGCCATCTGCAATCCTTTGGAAAATTTTCAACTTGAGGGCACAACTGTGATGGTGAAGAAGGGAGCCAAGATGCAGAACGTCTTCTGGTATGCCTGATGTTGGTATTCGAAAGATCCAGATGGACCTCCGTTTTTAAAAGGCGCTAGGGAAGTTCGTTTAGGCGTGGGACTTTGTAGCGCTTTAGGAAACAAACTTCCGATAATTATGAAATGTTTACACACCAGAGAGCACAGCGGATTCATGAACTAGTACCTATCTGGGCTGCGCGCCAGTGGAATTGCTGTTCGAAATACTCTGCCCAACGTCCAAGGAGCGTTGTTGCTGATGGATTGGCTCGCCATTGGTTTCGCACGCAATTTCGCTTCTTGTCGGCCCCTCGCTGCCATTGAATCGGACCATGAAGAAAACCTTAAGAAAATTCCACGAGGCGACCGTTTGTTTCATCTCCATGAGTCGCAGCGCCCATCAAGGTTTGCGATCCTCCCAGAGGAGCTATTTGAGTTCAGCACCGGTTGTCGTGCGCAGTTAGTGGAAACTTATCAACGGGCTTCGAGAAGCTGTAGATACCATGCTGAGATCCGGTGCTTGACAGGGCTAGTAGTGAACCCCAAAATCATCTAGCAGATAAAATGCAGCGACTGCGATAAAAACTACGTCGGACAAACTGGAAGCAAGTTTTGTACGCGAATCACCGAACACAAGGTGGCCGTCAGAAGACATGATCCGCACTCATTGGTTTCTGCGCATGAAGATCAAGTAGGCCACCATTTCGATCTGGAGAATGTAAAGATCCTAGCACATGGAAGTACAAAACACGCGAGGGAGTTTTTGGAAGCCTGGTACACTACAACGAATTCAATCAATCGACACATCGAACTGGACGCAGTAAACACAACACTACTGACGAACGACCGCCAACTCGGTCGATTGAATCCGGTGGAACGTGCGACTAGACAACCGAAACTGACGACAGGCTCGCTCACAAGCGCAAGCAGACAAAGGCCACGAAACACAGAGTCAAAGGTCATCTGCCCATCAGCCAAGCTGAAGGCGGATCTTAATCCCAACCAATAGGATTGCTCGCCTCCACGGGCAACCACGGCGGTATAAAAACGCACGCACACCACGCTCAGCACACTCTCACCGAGGCTCCGGTATGCTACTGCACGCTACTCAACTACGCACTGATGATGTCACCTCGATTGGTGACGAAACGTTTGCAACCAAATTGCCAAGCTCAGCGAACAGTTTAACTGCCAAACCCAAAATTCTGGTTGTAGAGTGTGTATGTCTCTGCGATTGTGTACCCAGCGCGTCTCAATGTCTGTAAATGAGGAAATCTTGATATCTGAGTTCATCACGCTCCTGGAAAGTGTTAAGAATGTTTGGGGTAGCATGATTAACTATGTGAAGGCGTTCACGGTTGCGCTGTTGGGTGCCATGAGGAGGCCGAGCGGCCTTATCACACATGAACGCATCATCCGATGTGCGATTTATTTGCAGCCCTGTATGTATTTCCGCCAGCGGTAACTGGTAGTGATATTGTCAACTTGCGTCTACGGCTAGCCAGGTGATATGGGTCTCTGTTGGCGCCAGGATCGCAGAAAAGCGGTACTTAGGAGCAATAGGCCGTGATCGGCGCTGAGATGAAGTAGGCGATCAACGTTCTGTCCTACGCAAACCATCACCATGTTGACCACTGAGTTCCCGTTCCTCGACTTTATGTCTGCCGATCCAGCAAATGCCACGATATTCATGCTCCTTTTTCGGAGAGGGTCAGTAGATCTCATCATTAACTGTGTCTGGTCTGCATACTGTGGGAGTACATTCCGCCACGATGAACAAGCAACGTCTGCTGGTTCCACGGCTGGACACTCGTACTGAGGTTTCCACTCGAATCTCACAGAGTCGTCTGTTCTAAGGGATCTAATTTAGTAGCGCAGCCTGAGCAAGTGTGCTCAGCGCACTCCCCAGGCCGGCATGAGCAACGACCTCGGCAAATGAGTCTACAGACACACAATGTGAAAGTGCCAGCGGAACTCGCAGACAGGGAAACCATCCGTTATGTTATGCTAGAGTTTTGTACCTGGGTCTCAGCGAGGTACTAATATCAATGGCAATACTTTCTTAATGCAAGCAAAGGCTGCCTCTAGTCTGATTCACATCAGCGTCCAAACATGGAATTGGGGACGGGGCGCTGGATAAAACCAGCCAATGCGACTAGGCGGCACACCTTCAAACGTATCTTCCTGATCCATGCGGCGAGAACACTTACTCAACGGCGGTACGGTGGTTTGAACTCGGAAACGAAAGGTGGCAACTGTTAATGGTGGGATTGAACAAACGTGGAATAAGACAATTGGACGGTGGTACGGTAGAGCACTGTTTAACAGATCCGGCCACCAACACCTCGATCGAGGTTAGCATTTTCAGAGAGCAAGCAGAGGAACGCTAAAACATCGATCCATAGCTTGTGTTGACATTGTACTTCAAGGTTGCCCGGAGCAAGGAGGAGGATTGGCTTAGGGGACCCCACCCGGGGCCTTGGGCCATAAAGACCTGACTTACTAGGCAGCGGTACGATCAACGTATATGGAGAACCGGTGAGAATTAGCTTTCAAGTGGAATCAAATAACTCAGGACACCCAAGGAGTCCGAGTATTACAGCACGGCGGCCAGGAGAGATTTCCTGGACCACCGACTTCGCAAGCAGGCACGAAGACCGTTGACAGCCAGGTGGCTCATCCGCCCTCACAGTGTTCCTAGTCCACGTAGAAGGCGGTGGCACTCGGATGTTGTTCATCCGCCCTTCCTCAGGTACTTCGAAGTGCGTAGTCAGTGACCATATAGCCGATCATATTGGCTTTGACACAGTGCGTTCGAGCTCTTGTGATATTTACTGAGTAATTAGGTGACAAGACCAAAACACCCACGCACTAAGATGTTGTTTGTGACTGCTTCTTCATCTCACCTTCGAACAGACGAAGCTTATTCACAGTTATCTTCTCCTATCCCGCATATTGGGACGCACCGATAGTGTACAGTTCCACCGAACCAACGAGTGGTCAGTTCACTTCCGATGTACCGAGTACTATCGGTTTGCAGTGGTTGTATTTTTGTCTCCGTTCTGCCTTTTTCCTTCAGATGCGACGAAACACTTCTGCCTTCTTTTGCTCAACCCTTTACCCTAAAATGGTGGGATTGTGATCCTGACTGAATGCTAGAACTCATCCGCTAATCTCACATGACTTGCTAGTCGCACAGCCTGGTGCCATGACTCCGACATTTCTCTTTGATTGCTCTCAGCCGTTTTTCACTATATTGCCTGTTTCCATACGTTTTTGCGACATGTTCCTCAGCTCTAGTTATTTCTGCACTCTACATTCCTTACTACGCATCTTAATGGTTATTTGCATATTGCGGAGTCTATGCCCACTAATTGTTGATTCACTATCTTCCACAAATGGTCACTCTTCTATCCAAACTTTTCTACTGGCCTATAGAGCTATTTGACAATGAAAACTGAATCAACTCAGCCACCCTATTTGTTTGTTCTGCTTTTCTAGCCCAACTGAAGACTCGGTAAGTTTTTGCCTTTGCTCGTTTACCATCGTTATTCTGTGAGCTAATCTTGCATTCCGTTTGATTTCCAATTTCTTTCGCTTTACACTCAGTGGTATGAATTGCTAGTCTTGTGAACTTTCTGCTTACTCTTCTTTTTTTACTTTCAGCGAAGTTAATGCACCTCCTTGCTTTTGCATGTAGTTATCTTGGTTTGTTCCGCTCTCCCTGGTACCACTTCACATCTTTTTCGTAGAACAATTGTAGGGGCACTGATTCTTTGGAACCATTTTCTCTGTGTGTCTGCGAACCGACCGACTCACTATACAAACAGTGCAGCAGCTTATTAGTGGGTGTTTTGACTCCTGCTCTTAAGAAGAGCTCCTGCACCCATCGATAGTTGCTATTTTAATATTTCCCTTTTTTCCTTGGTATTGTTTTGTCATCTACTGCTTCCACCGTGAGCAATGATAACGCACTGTATCTGCGATGTTTTTGATGTGCGTCGTTTTTCACTTCACAGGATGCTAGTTCCCTACCAACGGTTGAAGATGTCGTGAAAATGACACAGGAACGCAGCCGGAGAGTTATATCTCCTAAGACATGTATGTTTTCCAGTTGGGTGTCGGTTTTTTTAATTAAATTGTTAGTAAGAATTTGTTTATTATGGCGGACATTGTCTCTGTATTCCCCATGAATTCAGCCGCAGGACACATGCGCTTATCCTTTTCACCGACTCAGTTTGGAAGCATAAAACTTGAGTAAAACATCCCCCGTTTACTTGGGGCAACTTGAGAGGCATATGTTTTGGTTGGAAGTTACTGAGGCCTCCTACATAAAAATCGCTTGTTTCTTTGAAATGGCATTCTCGCGCATCGATGCACTGTTGCAAGCGGTTCTACAGCGCGTCTTTGAATTCCTGAACTCCTTGAACTCAGATCTCTTTCATTGCCTAATGGGCGGTAACCTGCACTTTTTTAATAGTTTCAAAGTGACGTCCCGTCAAACTGCCTTTGAGCCCTGGCGGCAAAGTTAGGTCATCAGTGGTTAAGTCCGCGATGTTTGTAGGTAAGAGCGGCGTTGTAAAGGTTTATTTCGCAAACAACTGTTTCACTCTCAAAGCTCTGTGCTTCGGCTCAGGTGTTGATCATCACAGAGCAGACTCGCGACCCCTCTTCAGCCGTTCGAGCGAATCCACTTAAAAGACGTCGTTGATTGTTCACCCGGAAAGGACGAACTCATGTAAAATTTTAGAACCCGAAACGAACAGTGATCACTTGATCTGCTGTCAGTCTAAGACAGAGGTCGGTCAAAGTACAGAACTTTTTCATCTTATCCGCATTGTCCAACTTTGAGACTTCGATGAGTACTCTGTTCGTCATTCATCCTTGGAGCTCTTTTCCTTCCATAAACGTTATGCGCCACTGAAACGCTTTAGCTTTCTATATAACACCCGTCCCATAGGCTTTATGTATCATAACAAAGGTCTCGGTCTATTCAGTTATACATTTACTTGCAGTTTGGCCCCTACACACTGCTCAAACAGCTGTGCACTTCAAAAACCTTCCGCACTCCGTAGCAACCCACTACTGACTAACGGGAGATCTATCTTTTACTTAACATCCCACACCAATCGTATCTCTTGCAGACTCCGCCAACCGGCCCTTATAGTTGGCCCAAGCAAACTAGCCTCAACACTTTCCGGATAATCTTTGTACATACGCTCTCTTTTCTCTTCCCAACTTAGGTAACATTAGCCTAACATTAATCGCTCCTCCGCGCGTGAGACTACTACAGAGATGAAAACAACATGCATTGCTCTACAATTCTTAACAAAAGTCTGTCTGCTATTCCTCAAGTTTACTTTTTAATGCTAAATACTTCTTTTTCAGTGCATGATACCGAGAATGAGATGGCGGAAGCGACTCGCGCTGTTCGCGCCGCAATGCGTAGTCTGGCTGAGCTAGAAGGTGCCACGAGAAATCACATTGATGGACTGCGTGACGCTATAAAAGCACCGGATTCTGTGAGTGTCATGCCTTTTTCACTCGACGAAACACATTGTTCGGTCCCTAGACCACTCGTTGTGTGTGTGTGGGTGTGTGTATATGTTACGGTTCAATTTCCAACAGACTTGAGCGTTTCAAACCACAAACTTATTAACTGTTGCTTTTGGAACACTCATATATATCTGCTGGCCGCCTTTTAGTGACACTTGACGAATTTTTCCCACGCGTGATCTACCTGTGGTCTATCCGGCGATTGTCGACCGTCATGTTGGCACGCAGATATCCTGTTTTGCATTAATTTCTGCTAACGCTTTTCAAATCTGTTCAAGCTACTGGTCAGTAGTCAAATTTGTTTTCCATCTGCTAATCTCCCAACCATATACGTTAGCTCTGTAGGCAGCTGAGGTCAAGGCGCATATGCATGCTTCGGTGGCGCACGGAACCGCTCACGCCGTTTAACTGATCCGTGCATGTAGAGACTTCCGCTGAACATCTGCGATGATCGCATTTTTATTTTGACATGATGTTCTAAAGCTCGAGTACCTGGTCTAGTAGTAGCATTTGCATTCGGATTTACTAGCTACTGTGACAACGAGCATCCACAGGGTGCTTGCCTCAACAGGGAAACTGGTTGGTTAGCACCGTGTCACTTACACACGGGGTCCTATTTCAGCTGGAAGGAATGCGAATGCTTACCACGATTAACTCATAGGTGATTCACCTTTGCGCAGCATGACACCCCTCCCCGCTAAACTCCTGGGGTGCATGTAGCCAGTCGTATTCACCAATCTCGTTCACATCCGACACCCTATAACCCGGACGCGCACGTGACGGCTGTCAGGCTACAGATCGGTACACAACAAAATTACTATTTTATCCCTTCCTTGTCCCCATATATTGACCATTTCGACGCCACTAGCATCAATTATCGATCTCCTAGACGCAATCGTCAACTGGCTGCGTCGGTCGACCAATCGCCATGTAAAGTGGACCAAACATGTCACATGCATATATGGCATATGTCAATACGTGATCGACGATCGGAGTATTACGATATCACGTACATGCTACTTTAGCTCTAGTGCCTGCATTTCTTTCCGTGTATTGTCAAAGTAGTAAACACTGGTAGATGATCCTGAAACTGCAACACTATGTATATTACGGATCTCGGTCGATTAACAAAGCAAACCATTTCATGGGGTTCTGAGTCCTTGTACACTGAAACACTATACACCGGCAAGCAATCCGAGCGTCGGATCTTGTCTCTGACTTCGGGAGTGTTGCGCCCCCTGGTATGGCTTATCCTCATCCGAAAGGCGTATGAACTGAGTGTCCAGTTACCGGCTCCCAACAGTTGCGAATCTCTCATCTCGTCCTGCTGCTTTGTGAGTTAGGCGCTTTGACCAAAAGCTCCGGACGGTGGTCCCCTGAGAGAACCTACCTACCTCGGCCTAGGCAACCGGGTAGTATCTCGCCTACTGGCGAACCATGGACTTACAACTACAACCATTCACATGCTCTCTTGCCGCTACGATGCTATTCACTCATGCTACTACGTTAACTTACAAGCACACGCCACCATTTACCTACCCTTCCCTTGTACCATTCACACCCATTTTACCTGATTCTTCTACGGCGATCAACCCCAACTCCACCGATGAACCTGTTTCCATGACATTTGCCAACTCAACCACACAGTGCTCAACAGAGAGCTGTCAGCCCCGAAGTCACCCATCTTAGCTCCTGCAACCTGGAACGCATTTCAAACTTGCAGCCTTTGACGTACGCACACTACTACAGATCGGTCAACAAGCTGGACTTGCACGCACGCTAGGAGCCTCTTGGAATCGATGTCTGCTGCCTGAGTGAAACTCGACTCCAGGACTCCAACTCGGTCTACCAGCTGGCGTCACCGCTCCATTCACGCACCCGCTTCCATCTCCGCCTCTCTGATGACGCCGAGTCTGCCGCATCTGGGCAAGCTAATGTTGGAATCGTCCTCAGTGCTAAAGCCCAGGCTACTCTGATTGATTGGATTCCGATCAATAGTTGTCTTTGTGCGATGAGGTCCCATGGCTCTTGTAAAGTTGGCAGACGTCGAGTCGAAAAGCGTTCTATCTTCGTGATCTCTGCCCACGCGCCCACTGACTGTAACTCGGACACAGTCAAAGACCAGTTCTACCAGAACCTTCATGAGCTGCTCCTAAGAGCTCTTAAAACAGACGTTATTGTTTTTGCAGGAGACTTCAGCGAGCGTGTCGGTCGGTTGCTGCCATGTGAGCGCCACCTCGGGGGACTGCATGGATATGATGTTCGCTCAGACAACGGAGAGAGACTGCTCAGTCTGTGTGCTGATCCTTAGCTTTTCCTCTCCAGCACAAGTTTTCGTTATCCTGGACGCCAGTACGCCACTTGGCGCCTCCCATCATCAACTCAGCGCTGGTCACAGATTGACAACAAAGCCATAAGTCACAGTTGGCGCGGCAGCGTACGCGACTGCCGATCACTTTGGTCAACATGCGTCGATATCGATCATGCACTGCTATGTGCAACCGTTCGCATGCGTTTCGATGGTTCACCTAGGTCCAAAACATCCGAATAAACACCTACAAGCCGGAGGACCCAGTGGTGAAGATGGAGTATCAACAAAGGATTCATGACAATCTCTCTCTCTCCCACTCTGTATGTTCATCAATGCTGATCAAGTCTGCAACAAGCCATGCTGCCGGCCGGTTTGTCCAGCTGCGGCCTCGTTCACTCCACTCCCAAAAGCTGTATTTTGGGAAGATCCTTAGGATTGCTTTATCACCGATGGGCGGTGCCTGTTGGCGTAGAGCACAAAGGACACCGCCGGTCTATTACGCAACAGCTGAAAGCAAGCCTTCGCTCTGATCGTGAATCCTGGTGGTCAAAACAAGCTGATAATATGGAAGCCGCTGCATCAGCTGGCAACTTCCGCCCTCTATTTTGCATCATCAGGGCCATCGGTTACAATTCCCACGCTATCAGTCAAACGACTCGCGAATCATACGGCTCGAAGATCACCAACCTTCACAGGCGAATGGGTCACTGGGCAGAGCATTTCGCTCTTCAGTTCAACCACCCAACACAGCCCCCTGTGGCACCTCCAGCCCCAACGGATGATGCTTGGCCTGTGGAGACAGGCCCCCCAACTGAAGCAGAGATCCGACATGCAATCCAATCTTTGAAACGCCGCAAAGCTTCTGTTCCCGAAAGCCTATCACCGGCTCTATTCAAAGGGGGCGCGAGTGTACTTGTTAGCGAAGTCCTATCGCCGTTCACGAAAGTTTGGACTGATGAGAAGATTCCGAACTCATGGTGAGAATCGGTTATTGTTCTGATTCATAAGAAAGGCTCCCGCGACGGTTGCTGTAACCACCGCTAAATGTCGTTGATTACTGTTGCATCCAAAATCTTCGTGTCTGTCCTACTCCCGCATTATCACATCCACTGACGAATCACGGATCACACTGCTTACTACTGCTCCTGCTATGCCTATCTTCTATGCTAACTCAACCGCTCAACCCCCACTCAAAGATCAGCCAAACTCCCGGTTTTTAATGTCTTGCGATCGCAACCACCTCTCACTCCACCGAAGTTCCAGCTCTTCTTCGACCTGGTTCTCCATTCATCCTCGCAGTTTTAATGTTCGAACTTTGGTGCGGATCGGACGACAAGCATGTCTGGCCCGTACTCTTGAAACGCTCTCGGTAGATATCTGTTGCCTTTCAAAGACCAGATTACAAGACCACAGCGCCGTCTTCAGAATGGCCTCTCCCGTAAACTCTGACGCAAAATACTACTTGCGGCTTTCCGGAGACCCAGAAGCTGCCGCCACTGGTCAAGCTGGTGTTGGGGTTGCACTGAGTGCCAGGACTGAATCAGCTCTGCTTGACTGGAACCCAGTCAACGGTCGGCTATGTGCAGTCAGACTAAGAGGTTCATGTAACGTAAGCAGGCGTCGAGACGTTAAGCGTGCCTTGTTTGTCGTCTCCGCCTACGCCCCTACAGACTGCAGCCCGGATGCAGTCAAAGATAGCTTTCACCAGCAACTCCATGAACTTTACGTTCTTCCAAAAGGACTGATATAGTCGTTCTTGCCGGGGACTTTAACGTACGGGTGGGCCGACTTCCACCAAGCGAGCACCACCTTGGGGTAGTTTTGGCCTCCGTGGCAGTCAATCAGACAACGGAGACAGACTGCTTGCTATTTGCTCTGATCATCGCTTGTTTCTTTCGAGCACTCGTTTTCGGCACTGGAGGAGACACATTGCTACCTGGCGCCCGCCCTCACAAACGCAAGAGTGCTCCCAGCTTGACCACCTAGCAATCAGCTACAGATGACGCGGAAGCGAATCGGACTGCCGCTCGTACTGGTCAACTTATCGAGACTCCGATCACGCATTGGTTCGTGCTAAGATTTGCATGCGTTTCGGAGGATCACCTAAGCGCGCTCACTACCGACCGGAAGTCGCAACTCTACAAAACCCTGCGATTTTAACCAGGTACCAAACCTCACTTGTTTGGCTCAAGTACTGGCGGCGACCTCGATACGCAGTGGGCGTAGATCAAAGATGTCTTAGTTTCCGCCACTATCGACACTTGTGGAGTTGCCCATCACCCACCAAAGCATTAGATTTCCGCCGACTCCTTGTCGCTGATGGACAAACGCCGCTTGATCCCATCGGATTCCAGACACAGTGAAGAACATCAATTCCTTGGTGGAGAGTTGCGCAGGAGTCTGCAAATGGACCGCGAAGCTTGGTGGTGTGAACGTGCTAGGAAGTTGGAGCTTGCTAGTCTCTCTGGTAATACCAGAAAACTTTTCCATCGCATTCGAGTCACCGGTGTTCAATCTGGTATAAGTGAAGCAATATGCGAAGAGGATGGCACCTTAATCACCAATCTTCAACGACAGTTGGAGCGATGTGCGGGACATTTTTGCTCGGAGTTTTCTTGGCCCCCAGCTCCATCTGGTGCTCGCGTTGAGGCCGAG